TGGGCACTCCCGGTGAACAGTGTCCTCGAAATCTATGCTGTGGGGTCCAGGGGCCACCACGCCCCTCATCACATCTCCAGGCACAGCACCCACCCCCACTCAAGCTCAGGCTGATTTTGGGGGGAAACAGATACAGGGGCTCAGAATCCCAGAGCTAGACTGGGAATTTGCTAGCTCGTCTGACTTTCCCATTTTACAGATGGTGAAGCAGAGGCCCAAACAGTTCTTCAGACATTTCTTGAACTCTCTTCCCTTAACCTCAGGTCATGGGCTGGGTGCTGGGGTCGCAGCAGGGACCAGACTTATCCTCTGCCCTGAAGCAGAGTTTGATGGAGGCTCAGGAAACACACCTGCGTTTGCCATGTATGGGGCCAACATGCTATAAACCTAGAATTGGGATTTCTAATTTGTCACAGGGTTTTCTTTTTGTAATGTAGTTTATAAAATGAAAATCTAAATAACGGGAGACATTGAAAATCTAAATAACAGGAGACATTGGGTCCCTTCTATTATTAGAATTATGCCTCTTTGCAAGTGGTAGTGTTTGATACTGACCCCATGGTATAGGCTATCTCAAAGTGGCAAATCCCAAATCCTGTATCCTGTGCCCTGCATGTATGTTGCTGGTAACCTGGTAACCTCCAGCCATTAGGCAGCCCTGGCCGCCCCTGGGCAGGCAGCACCAAGGATAGTTTCTACCCTTCCTTTACAGATGAGCATGCTGAGACTCAGGGGTTTGCTGAGTTGGGCTTGGATCTCAGTCCCCTCTGGGCAGGGCTGGTCCCATTTCAGCATCTCCTTGAATGAGCGGTCAGAGCTGCACAGGGGTGGGAGGGAGTAAGTCTTGTGAGAAGTGGTGAACGAATGTGCTTTCTGTTTTCTTCCTCTCTGACCTCTCTCCTGACTACTTCTCCTGCCTCCTCTGACCCACCCAGCCTGTTGGGAGATCTTGCATCCAGGTAAAGTCCCTCCTTTCCACCTGGTCCACCCACTTTCCTGGAGGGCCTGGAGACCACTGGCCTGACTGATAAAATCACAAGGCACAAGGTTGGAAGGAATCTTAGTGGTCATTCAGACGGCCAGGCTCAGGTGTGTGCTAGGAGACACAGTCGCCTTAGAAAACTCTTGCCTCACTTTTCCATCCCACCCCAGTGATAGAGACCCGTACAGACAGCAAAGCCCGCCTGCTGCGTTGATCTAGGGAGTGGCCCCCAAGAGGGCTGTCTGAATTACAGACCACCTAAATTAAATGATGTTTTGGAGGAATGCAGGCATCTTGATGTTCAAACTTCTGCCCTAATGCAAATTAACTGCTGGTCGGTGTTGCTAAGGAGAGGTCCTTAGAAGACCTACTTTTGTAGACAAGATTCCCTGGATGGACTTACCTCCCCAAAAGGCATGTGCCCCAAACACAGCAGGCTGGCTCTTGTCATAAGATGACAGTGTTGCTTATCCTACAGTAATTCAATTCAGTTCAGTCTAACTCAGCAAAGATTTTCTTAACACAGATGTGTGCCCAGACTTGTGCTGGGTGCCGAAGTGCTAGAGAGGAACCAGACATGTCCCTGCCCTTATGTCTCATGGCCTGGGGGAGGGTTAAGGTTCCAGATTCTTCCACTCACTTCCTGTATGGCCTTAGTGATAATCGGCAAACTCAGTCTTCCACCAGCTTCCATTCCAATAGTTTGTTCCTCCAAGTGAACCTGCAGAAGCAATCCCCTTTGAAGGAAAAAAATAAAAATAATAAAAGCAGATAAAAAGCCAAATAGTTTTGACAGCCTTATAAAGCCCCCATGTGCCTGTCGAGGAGAGGTAATGATTTCTGACGAGCAGAAGCTTCACAGTTTAACCAAGCCTTTTAGCTGTGTCATCTCCTAGAAAGTCTAGAAAGTGGTTTTAGAAGGTAGGCATTGTTACCCTGTGTTCCAGTTCAGGGAGACTAAAAGATATCAAGTGCTCCTCCAGTGAGTGGTGGGGCTGGCGGAACCGATCTTTTTTTTTTTGTTGCACAGCTTGTGCCCCTGACCACACCATCCCCTGTCCCTTCCTCCCTCCCAGCTGGGCTTTGGGCCACACAATCAGAGAGATGTGGCTTGTGCCTGGGGGTGCTCACAGCTGGGGGGCCCTTCTAAGGTGATGCCACCTCCAACTGAGAGGAGCCTTCAGGGTTGATTTTGTGCGTCCTGCTGATCTCACCTAGTGATTAAAACTTTGGATTATGGAGCCAGAATCCTCTATCCCTTACCATGAAGAGCTGTGTAGCCTTGGGCAAGAAATTTTAGTCTTGTGCCTCAGTTTCCCATTCTATACATTGGGGCTAATCATAGGATTGTTGTGAGGATTAAATGAGTTACTCTGTGAAAGGGACGTAGGGTGTCCTTGGCATAGTCAGCATTGTGCAAATGTCTTTTTTTATTATTCTGTACGTCACGGCCAAGGGCGGAGAAGGCCCTATCAGAAACACTGACTGGCGCCCAGTTCTTTCCCACTGCCTTTTCCCTCTGTCCCCCACAAGGCTGCACGATGTGGACAGCCTTGGGCCCCAGCGCCCACCCAACTTGAACCTGATTTAACTGACCTCAATAGTACTTCATCGAGATGGCAGGGGGCTAGGGTCGCCTGAACACTTTATAGGAGCCTCCTGGAGGTGTTGGGAGTTGGGATGTCGTGAGGGTGGACGGGATTCCAACTCAGCGTTTGGTAAGGGCTGTGGTCATTTGAGGCGGGCAGGGTCCCAGGAGCCTCCAGTGACCACGGTGCACACTACCCTTTTCCTCCCACAGGCTGGAGGAGTCCCAGCCTGTGGGAATCCAGGGGTCCTTCTCAGGAAAGGGGGCATTCTATATATTTGTGGAACCAGAAGATGCGGTTTCCTAGTTCAACTCCCAGACAGGCTGAGCCCGAGAGTGGCAGAACTGGGCCTGGAGCTGTATTTCAGACCTACCTCCTCAGAACTCTCCGCAGCCCTCAGACCGACAGGGCGTAGAGTCTCAGAGCTGGAGGTTCGGCGCCAGGCTCACTGGGTCTGGGTCTCTTTCAGTGATGTGGCTGTGGAACTGCCTTTCACCCTAATGCACCCCAAGCCCAAAGAGGAACCCCCACATCGGGAAGGTAAGCAGGATCTGTGAGTCACTGGGGTGGGGGTTCTCACCAGCTGCCATGTTACCCCGTCACTCTACCTCCCTCTGGGTTAGCCTTCAGCACAGTGTCACCCTTTTCTTTTGTGGGGCCCCCAGATCCTATCTGTTTCTGACCCCACCAGGAGACAGTGGCTCCTGGCTCCTGTCCATGGGAGAGGGAAGCTGGGAGTGGAGGAGAGAGTGTACTGTCCATGCTTGGAGCCCCTGTCTTGCACCCAGGCATGGGCTGGGTCCCATTTGGAAGTAGGGGAAGGGGCTGCAGGAATAAGATGACCACTGGACACACCATTCCCACAATTTTTTCAAGTGATACCAGATTGGTCATATTTCATTGACTCTGAGACGGTTGCAGTGAAAAGAGACATGAGCATGTTGTATCAGGAAAAAACAATGCATCCGCAAGTCAACTATGCAATGCCATGGATGGGAAAACACGCCTCAAGTTCAAAGATGTTAAAATGTGTGTGTGGGGGGGAGGGACAAACGGGTTGTCTTAGAGTTAGTGGAAGGCATGCATGCAAGGAATTAATCTAAGTCGCGTGGGAGACCTGTCCAAAGGAGCCGAGATCGAGAGGCTTCTCTGCTCTTCTGGAGCTGCAGTGGGACTCAGAGCCCTCCCTGCACCCTCTCCTCAGCCTTTAAGATGACTTGGGAGCCGGGCTCGGTGGCTCAGCCTGTAATCCCGCGCCTTTGGGAGGCTGAGGTGTGTGGATTGCCTGAGCCCGCGGGTTCGAGACCCGCCCAGACAAC